TTCAGCTTTAACAGAGTCTGGCGATAGGCAGGAAGAGCTGCAACTCACACTGGGGGCTTCTGCCGAAGCCCAGACTTCAGTTCGTGACGGCAGAAGCACATCACGGACTGACGTCCGCGACATCGGTCCTGATGATGGCTGCCGGCAGTCGAGCCAGGTAGATGGGAATTCAGCAGGAGAGATGGACTGTCCAGCGGTCCAAGGAGAAGATCGCGAAGCTGCCATTTCACTCACTGATGCACTCGAGGAGGAAGCTCGCGAGGCGGCGGCTTTCAGCATCCATGTCTTTCTCTCTCTCTCTCTCTCCCACCTTCCCTCCCACTCAAGACTAAGTTTAATCATGGTAAGTTTGACATCCATCTATGCAAGACCTCATGTGCCGTCGCGGCTCAAAGACCGGACTGCCAGGCGCCGAAGCCAAAGAACAAACCCTTCGAGTCCCAGCCGGTCCCGGTGTCGAAGAAGCAGGCCGAAGGGGCCAACAAAGTGCGCCCTTCGAGACTTGCAGCAGGTCGGCCCGGCTCGATTGAAAGCCAGATCTCCAGGTTGAAGACAGTTTGCAGCCGCGACCATGCTCTTGACGAGGTTCCCTTCCTTCGCAGTCGCACTACAAGGAGCCGACAACGACAAGTAACGCTCCGGAGAAGGCAGGACCTCAACGGCGCATCTCCTGAGCTACGCGTAGCTTGCTCGAGGGGCTGTGGTTTTGATATGTTGTGCTGCCACTTGTGTCTCGAATTGGTGCTGGCGAAATCCAGCGTCTACATGGGGAATGGCTGGTTTCGATGTGCCGTGATACAACTGGTGTGTCTCGAACGGGTGCTTGTGGAATCGCATCGATCCAGCGTGCAAGAGGGGATTCCGCTAAAACGCAATGATGCCATGTATGTGTGTCTCGAACGAGTGCTTGTGGAATTGACCGTCTACATGGCAGGCCGGCTGGAAGCTTGGGTGGGCTCTTGGTTTCAGCCACACAGGCGGTATCGTTCAGGGTATCGTTCTAGTTACGCTCAAGGTGTCGTTCTGGGTCCACATAGGATACACATTTTTGAGCCCCCCCCATTCCAATTCCCAGGCCAATTACCACCACTTCCACAATCAGCACCAGCTCCTCCTTGTGAAATCGAGCGTGTGCATGGGGAAAGTTCTATTGCTGTTTGTCTTGAGTGGTTTCTTGTGAAATCGAGCGTCTACATGGGGAATGGCTGGTTATCCTGCATCTTGAGCCGCTGTTGTTGATGGGGCGAAACGAGGTGATGTGTGTGCAAAATAGTCACGAATACCTGCGGCACGCGGTCCTTTCATGTATTTCGTTGTATATTTTTGACACCCACAAACGGGCCGTGTGTGCACATGGGGTTTCGCTATTGCTGATGTGACGAAACGTGGTGATGTGAGTGCAAAATAAGCGCGAATACCCGCGGCACGCGGACAGTTTCGTTACATGTGTTGAAACCCGCCTCCGGGCGGCGTGGACATGGGGCTTCGCTATCTCTGATGTGACGAAACGAGGTGATGTGACTGCAACATAGGCACGAACCTGCGCCACGCGGCCTTTTCATCCATGTCGTTGCATGTATTGAAGCCCACACCCGGACCGCGTGTCCATGGGTTTTCGATATTTCTGATGTGATGAAACGGGGTGATGTGACCGCAAAATAGGCACGGATACCTGTGCCATGCGCCCTTTCCATTCATGTCGTTACATGTGTTGAAACTCACATCCGGACCGCCTGCCCATGGGGTTTCGATATTTGTGATGTGACTAAACACGGGTGATGCGACTAAACGCGGATAGGAGCGTGACAAGGGGGATGTTGTGACTAAACGCGCCCTGATGCGATTTAACCCCACCGCTCGTAGTGAGGTCAAAGCCCTTGAAGACGATACTGCGGTGGCAAGCCCAAATTTCCAAGCAAGAAGAAACTTGAAAACCCACTCACCCCACCAAACCGAAGATGCCCCCGAGGTAGAAGACCCTCCAGGGGGCGGGGAGGGCGGATCGCCAAGTTCCCCTCATACTGTGAAAGCTTGAGCCATTCGATCAGCTCACTCGCAGAACTCTATGTTGCCTAATTATCAACATTGCTTGTTGCAGAGTTGCGCAGGTAGAGTTTTGCAACATCGCAGGCACGGAGCGCTGTGTTCAAAAGCATTCGAAGCGTGTCGGCACGATTCTCACTTGAATGTCGGACCAGTCCCGCCTCAGGGGTTCCCAACCCGAGCTTTACCGCTCAGCTGCAGAAAGGTTTGCCCAGCGATGCGGTTCTCGCGCACTGCCATGTCTGCTGTGTGCGTGTGCCAGGATTGGAAGGGCTAGGCCTGACAGTGCGGCTATATCCTCACATCCGAACCGGCCGCTGCCTCACGCTTCGCTCACTCACCATTTGCAGCGGTAGAACTCCAGCCAAGCCAGACATCTAACATCTAAGGCGTGCTGGCAGTGGTTGATGTTCACCCGCAGGACCGATCGTTCGGTAAAATCAGGAGAAGTCGCTCTACCTGAATGCAGGGCTCCGTGGCCAAGTACAACTCGCAACAGCGTGCGTCTGGCTGTTCTATGTTAATTCGTCCAAGGACATCCAGCTCGGCTCGCTTTGGACATCTGCATGGGATAGACACTGCAGCATATTTCACGCGGCTTCTCAGACCAGCAGGATGCTGATCACTGAAGTGAATGGCATCCAGGGAAACACCGAGGACATGCTCGAGGCATTCTGGAAAGTGCATAGAAGGTGTGTGTGTGTGTGTGTACGAGTCCTAAATGTAATTTGGTGAAGGCCAACCACGAAACACCAATGAGAGGTGCCGAACCGGCAATCCTAAAGGTTTCACATGTCATGCTGGTCACATTAAATTACATGCCCCAGCCCACGCGTCAGGAACTTCCGCAGGTTAGGTACCCGTACCGGTCGACGAGATTGTGTGGGATGTAGCTTCCTCTTCCAATACCTCTCCATGGGTTACCTGCTCGGGGTACCTCCAGGAGGTACCCTTAGCAAGAGGGACTCCTGTTGCGCGCGATGGACCCACCCACCCCCCCTCGCAGGTGGGATCTTTTCGATCGTGTCAAGTATCTCCGCAGGTTCATACCTCTCTGCGGGTTACCGGCGCGAACTACCTCCTGCAGGTACCTCACAAGAGGGAATCCTTTCGCGCGCGTTGGATGCCTCCCCACCCGCCTCCCATCGCGCAACGTACCTGCCCGAGAGGGGTGGGGGATGTGCGGGGTACAGCCTGGCTGGTGAGGCTCTTTGCCGAAGCTTCTCGCTACAACTGCGATTGTGTCGGAGGGCCCGGTGGACGCAGCCTGTTGTGGCAGTTGCCAGTGCTTCTCTTGGTCAAGTCTGGCTCTTTCTGAAGGTGCAGCGCATGTTTCAGAGCTGGCCGAGCAGAAGCATACATCTCCAAAGGCCCCGTGAACTGCTCATTCGTTAGTTAGCTGCTCTGTGGTCCCGAGTGTGATAACGGCCACAAGAGTCCGGAGGAGATTGTGTCCATGATGAATGCGATCCGAGCTGTCAGAGTTTTGCGGAGCTCTTCGTGCACACAGATGGGGCCTGAGTGTTGGATCGAGGATAAAAGCGGTTCTGGGCAAAAGCTACATTGACATGCTCGATCCTTCTGTACGCATGCACTGTTGCCGTGGTTACTAGGAAGCAGTCCCTGACGACATTTCTATTGCCCTGTGCTTCTCGCACAGGCTCAGGTTCAGATGCTGAAAAGAAAGGTGTGCTTGCGGGCCGCTGATCGACCCGATACATTTTTTCGGTTTGCGATGTGACCTTGCCCAACGGGCGGGAATCGAAGCATCAACACAAGTACGGCAGCAGTATTCAGAAGCTGTTGTTGTATCAAGAGTAAGGGATTGGACTGGCAGGTGCTGACAACTCGATACTTGAAGCCTCCATGCTGAGATCAATGAACAACCACGATGTCGCAGGCAAGTTTGTCTTGAGATTTTTCGTAGCTGTGAACCAGCTTTACATCCTGGATCGTGATGCGTAGAACCATGTCTCGATCCCAAAGTTTTCCGTACTCCCTTTCCGACCTATGGCACTTCCCGACCTGGCCTCGACAAGGCTCTGTTGCCGGTTCTCTTGGACCGGTCGTCCATCCTTGCCTGTGCCGCGAGTGAAAGTCGACATTTGCTCGCCATGCCGACCTTCTAACACTTTGGCTCCCGCTTTGGTTTCCGCCCTCCGAATTTCGGTCCGACGCCAGTCCCTGACCCATCCATTACCCGTGTTCCAGACTCCTAATCTGTCATACTGGACCTAAAAACCTAGCACCTTTGCAGCATGCAGGATTTCGGCAGAACGAGCAGGTGATCGAAACCGCAACGAAGGATGCTGGAAAGCAAACATACTTATCAATGACTTATCAACGACTGAGAGTTTCGGACGTGCAAGAAGCGGCCCAAGCTCAGCTCTCACCACGCCGAAGCCTTGGTCCCCAACGGGAGCAGCCCTACAGCAGACACGGAAATGTCGCGCAAAGCTCCACCCACCCCCTTTCCACTCAAGCTGTGATTCTTCTGTTGTGTTTCGATGTCGCTTTGCGCACACGTATACTTTGGAGCCTGCCAGCTGACAAACAGTGATGCTCCCCCGTGCCTGTCTTGGTGCCCTTCACATCCAGAGAGGAGGCATGGGGCATTGCGGTTACATGACCCAGGCCCATGTACCCATGACGAGAAGTCTGACAATTGACGACCGGTTGGTGGGCTTCACCTGTAGATCCACCAGTCTTGTACATACAGTACTTGCACGCCATTCGTCCCAAGTCCCAAAGAAGGACTATTCCTGTGGCTAGGTGTCCAGACTTGATGCTGTCCGCTCGAGCTCGTCATGGATAGTAACACTAGCGGTCACTTGCGGCCACGGTTCAGCCCAAGGCTCAGCTATGCCGGATGACGCGCACTCGCATTTCGTACAGTAGGTGCAAAACAGGAAGAGGTTACTGACTGGTGCGTTGCGATTGCATGAATCGCATAAAGCATGAAAGTCAAGAGCCCTGAATCCCACGAAGTGACGCTTACTGCCTGTCCCGTGACATCAATGAGCAAGACGGACAAGTCAGAGTAGGTAGTGAATGAACACTGGATATGTGAGTAGTCTGCACCTTCTGGCGCACCGCCCATGGAGAATGGAGTGCAAGAGAATTGGCAGCAGCTTTTGCTTCCTGGAAGGCTCATCGGAGAGGCACTAGCTCAAGACGACCATTTCCTTTCCTTGGAGGAGTCGTGCACAGCTGGAGTTGGCAGTGCAGACTACGACTTCAGCTCCCCCCAGTTCACTGCAGAGATTGCGGGCAAGGGCTTGCCAAATTTCGGCGCTGCACATTTCACTCGACAAGGCATGCTTCCAGAAATTCAGAGGTTTTGGCGTTCTTTCGACTCGAGGATCGTGCTTTGGAAGTATGCTGATCTGGATATGCAAGAGATGACTGACTACACGGGCGCGAGATCCTGAGTTGTTGCATTCGTAGAAGCGAGCTCTGTGTTGAAATCCATTTTCGTAGGTGACCTGGCAATCGCGAAGACAATAGAAAGCACACAGTGGGCCACTGGTTCCGCCAGTTAAGACATGTTTGCGAAGTGCTTGCCCCCGAAAAGGGCATAGGGTGTGCGACGGAACCGAGCCCTTGCATCTATGTAATATATATATATATATATATACATACACACACACACACATGTTGTAGTTCCACATGTGCTCAGACCGAGAGATGGGGCAGCAGGGGGGGCAGCGCGAGCCAATGATGGCATGCATGCGAATTGGAGATTTGCACCGGTCCGATATGAAATTTACAACGAAATTCCTCTGGTTTTCACAGTTTTCCGGCAATGCTTTTTGCCGGCTGATTCTGCCCCCGTTCCGCAATCTTCAAGACAGGCCCGGGCCCTGTAGGCACAAGGCAGCTCGTAGCAGCCAGTCAAAGCAAGGCTTCATTCTGGTGTGTTCGCTGAGGTCTCGCAGCAAGTTATTGCAGCAGCCGTCGTTCGTCCAAAAGACTTCGTGGTTGATGCGGATTACTTTTTGATTTTGGCAACTCCGCTTGAGGTTTCGCTGCATGCCCTGCGATTTGCTCCAGGAAGTGATCGCCTTTTGCAGCCCATGCCTACGCAGTATGCTGTGGCAACCGATGATGTTCTGACCACAGCATTGGCGGCTGATGCTGCGAGCGGTCGAATTTTTCTTGGAGGAAACGATGGTTGCATACACGAGCTTCAATACTCGGAAGATGAGTCCTCCTGGTTGCGCAGACCGAGAAAGTGCAGGAAAGTTGCAGTGTCCTGGAACTTGCAGTCTCAGCTGCCGGTTGCTTTGCAGCGCATCTGCGTCGCCATGTTCGGGCAATCAGAAACTGTTGTTCAACTGGCCACAGAATCTTCAAGGGGACTCCTGATTGCCTTGTCATCTCTGTCCAACATCTCCATTTTTCATGTGCCCGCTAGCCAAAGGAATTCACAGGGACGCCTGGAAGAGAAACCTTTGGTGCAGCTTTGTTCGATAACACAGTCAAGCATCGCTTCAGAAGTGGGTCGCATCAAGGCGAGGCTCTTCCCTGGCTTGCTGGCTGCGAACTCCAGAGGTCTGAACCCGTTCGGTGCAGTCGCAGCTGCGACTGGTCTTGCATCTCAACCGCCTAGGCTGGTCAAGGTTTGGCCGGTGGAGAAGACTCAGGGGGGAAGCATCGTCGCCTGTGCCGTCGCTGAAGATGGCACTCGCGTTTTTCTCAAGGGCGTTTTTCGAGCTTCCTCGAGTGTGCCTACATCTGACGTGAACTCACCGGGCAGTGGAACCCAACAGCGATGCAGCCAAATTACATCCGTGGCTGTTCACCATGTTCGATTTCTGGATGCTCTTGCCCCGAAGAACCTGAGAGTGAAGGATGCTCTGTGGGAAGATGGTGTGACATTGCTGCAGTGCCAGGTGTCTGAACATGATTCTGCGTCATCGGCATTTGCCGGGGGAAGGGCTGGAGGCGCGGAGACGCCGGAGTCCGTGAACGCTGTAGTTGCTTTGAGCACTGACCTGCGGGTGATCGCTCAACGGCAGGGCCGCAATCGTTCCCCCTGGCTCCAACATGCAAGCTTGGCAGAACATGTCGACACTGTTCATTTGCATCGAAGTGGCTCTGCTGTGCCCGAAATCTTGGGAATCGCCATGCTGCCACGGCCTGTATCCAAGCCAGTCGAGCAATTATTCTCGAAAGGAAATGGCTTGGTACTGCCAGTGCTCCACCTCAGCGAACTCGCGAAACAGCAATTAGTCCCAGCGCCTTCCTTCATTATAATTTCTGGAATCGGTGCCCATATTCTCAGAAAGACACAGCCCATAAATGTGCTTCAGGGTTTGCTACTCAACGGAAACATGGCGCAGCTGCAAGACTTCGTGAACCAATTTACAGCAGAGCAGGTTTGCGCCATGTGTTTCCAAACTTTGACACAAGCGATGCCAAAGATTTCAGCGCGCAGCAATGCTTCCAGGCCAGACAAGACGGATGCCTCTTCAGCTTCACGAAACAAGTTTAGAGTTGCCAAGAACGACATGTTGACGGAGCCGAGCAGCTCCCTTGCAAGTACAGCGCCCCTGCGAGACCCTGCAGAAGAGGTCCTGCTGCTGCGCACCGAGCAGTTTCTGCTGTCACCACAGCTTTCTGTGCAGATGGGCTTCTCTCAGGTGCTGCCTTCTTTGCAGGGCCCACAGATGTCAGCACAGACTTCTCCGCTGGGATATCCTGTTATGTTTCAATCCGCTGCTCGCTTATCTGCACGTCTCCGAGGGCTGTACTCGTACTTGAGCAGGCTGATCAGGCCCTTCTGGCTTTCCCCCGTGATGCTGGTATCCTGGCCGCCTGCCCAGGCGGAAAAGCCAAAGCGGAAACGGCCCGACGAATGGTGGCCTCCACCTCCTGACCCTGCACCAGTCGCCAAGGGTGCTCAATGGAGGTGTGCCTTTTCAAAGCCCCAGCGATCTTATGCACAATCTGAGCTGTCGCTTCTCAAGATGACTTTGGATCGTTGTCTCCCTCGTCTTGTCCGGACGGAGCCAGGCCTCGCAGACGGCGGTTTTGCAGGTGCTAGCATCTCGCAAGAAGAAGTGGATGCAGCTCAAGGTGCACTACGAATCGTTGCGGCATCGCTTGAAGCCCTGGACTTTCTGGATCTTTTGTCGGGCTGCACGGCGGCTATGTCATCCGGCTCCTGCCCAGCAGAGATCCTCCAGCGTTTTTCTGAGTTAACATTTCGCGATCTGGTATGTCAACCAGAGGCACAGCAGGTCTTGCAACGGCTGATGCAAGCCGGAGTCGTGGCTTCTCGAGATTTGTCGAGATGTCCCACACTGTTCAGCCAAGCCGACTTGGAAATTCAAGAAAGCTTTGAGGTTCTTCGGATGGTCCAGGAGAGTTTGAAGGCTGCTGGAGCCGGCACCAGTATGCTGGAAATCGCACGTCTAAGCAATCTGACTCATCGGGCGTTATCCGTTCTTGAGCGACATGCGGCACGTGTCAACTTAACAGAAGCTGCCGGCCGCCTGCGAGCTGTAGGCGCGTGCAAGGCTCGGGGGCTTTAATTCCTTAACGTTTTTCGGACTCAGCACA